TATTCTTTTCCTCTTTCTCATCTCCTTCCACATAAAGTTTATCCCTATACATTCAGAGTTTCAAAATAGAAACATAGCGTCTTGTGTTCCACTTGAATAAGTTGACTTTTCAGGTTTATTTTACATTTGCCATGTAAGTATGACTAACACATTCAATTACTTGACGGTCGTTCTTTTGTCGCATACTCTTAACCTACTACTACGTATAATTATTTTTTCGTCCAAACTAAATATATTGGTGAGTTACGCTTAATTATTTTTGTAATACACATATTTCCATGTATCACTCTACTGTTTCATAAACTTACCTGTTAAATTAATTAAACATTTAATTTTTATTTCCTCCCATTATTCTTTAAGTTCAACTCAATACACTGTAGAGTCCATATAAATATTGCGAACATTATGTAAACATTATTGAAACCGGTGAGTAACTGTATTTCTCGGAAAGACCGAAATGATTTTTCCACAATATTTTTGAACCAATAAGCTGTTTGTGAATAATAACAATCATAACAATGATTGTTTGGTTAAGTCCAGATATGCACTATCGCACACTTTAAACGAAAACAAAAAGATTGGGCAAGTGACGGTTCTAGATTTTGTTATAAATTTAACTTATTTCCCTAACAAACATTGCCAACCAGCTAATTGTTCAGTCAGTAGTCAAATCTAAATTACGTCAGGTAGATAAGATGATATAGGATATCAAGAGCAACAAATAAGTGTTCCTATCAATACCGAAATATCAATCGATCCTCCTTGGATAAACCACCCACAGACTATCCGTAAGTTAATATTCAATTTCGTTATGACGCTGAATGTTTTCAGTTCTAGAAGAGTGCTTCAATTCACAATTAAAAATGCACAATCATTTCATGCAAGTTGATCAAAAAGTGGTGTTTATCAGTATGGCAGCTTCCATAGCCAAAACTTAGTTCAAACAACGTAGATGTAGTCCGGAATAAACATGAGAATTCAATGAAAACCCAATAAAATAAAACTACAATTATATGTAGTTTCATTTCGACTAGTGTCAAAATAGCATAGAAACGTACATCTAAAGGAATCAAGAAGAATAAATCAGTATATAATTTATATATTTTAAACCCATTTCTTCGTATTTCAAAAATACACTAAGGCTCATGGTCTTTTGCTTTCCTAACGGAATGTCTTATTCTCAACCAATTGATTGCATATAGTCAGACTTCAGAAAGACTGTATTGTTAAGTATGACTGTTACTATTCGGCTGACGTTGATATTAGGAGGTTTGAAAGTCTCCGGTTAAGTTCACTTGGAAGCAGTAATTTCATCCTGGTTGCTCATGGTACTAAAAATGTATTCTCAACTAGCAGTTTGTTACATGAGGCATGCCAGTATAAAGGCAAGACCAACTTGCTGCAAAAGATACTCAAATTGTTACAAAGGATCTCCGGACTGAAGAGGGTGGGAAAACAAAATTAAGAAGTTACGAAAAGTTTCTCAGTACCGACGAACATTAAGAAATATCAGTGACTTGGTCATCGTGTGCCAACCTGATGGGTAATTCTACAATCGTTTTGAATCTTTGTACTAATTCAATCGTTCCTTTACTATATTCATTCTCGTTTTGTTAATCCAGACAGAACGATTCCCACTATCCTCAGAACTATGCAAATGTCCAATCAGCCATGAGCATGTCAGCTGTTGACTTTGACAACAGAAAGCCTAGTCATCAAATATTTTAATTTTCCACATCGTTTGTGAAACTTCATGGGATCAACCTTTTGTACTAATTTAGGTTCTTCGGTTTTAATTTGCTCCTTAAACATCTAAATGCTACTATATATCAGTGTTCTGCGGGTAGTAAAATAATGTTACCCGTGAAGCTACAAGTTAAATTGTGTAATGTATATAACTTCACTGCGACAACAGGAAATTCGACGTACGATGAAGTTGATTTGAATCCATAAAATGAGACCATAATGCTACCCAACTCATCTTTATACGATTTACGTTATGTCCGTACTAGTGTAGTGAACAAGAACACAGGTGGGGACAATCGAATGTATTTAGCACGAAAATTACAGACTATCTCAACAAAATCTGAATACCATAAAGTCAATCGTCAATTTGCAAATTATCAATACATCATATCAAACTGTACTGTTCAAGTTGCAAATACTAATCCATTGTCTCCCATTCCATTGTTCATAGGTTTTCTTACAAATTGCATTATGTTCTCGCTCCACCTTTCTTGGTCTTCGCCATCTTTTGCTGCCGAGCATTACGATCTTTTAATGCACGTTATATACTACTTATGTCAATATAAGTAGCTCACACCACACTAGTAATACTTATACTCTAACGGATACAGTTGGGTTATAGGACGAAGGTACTGTGGGGCCAGTAAAATATCGCTAGGCCCTAGCCAAATCATTTGGGATTCGGTTCATTGAATATCAACCAGATCACTAGTGGGAACACATCCATACCAGATTATGAGTGGGTAAGTTGTGCTATGCATCTCTCACAACTGTCATCTAGTTCAGGTCAGAGGCTTATTGATGAATCAATAGTCCTCAAGGTATATCATCGAACGACTTCATTTCTGACTTCTGATTTGACTGTTTTGATAAACTACGAATATAAAGGTGTTGTCAAACTCAGAGTACATTTATCATCTTTAAGCCTATGCCATACAGTCTAAGATTTCTCTGACGGAAAATAACACCTTAAACTCCAGAAATATTAGTTATTAAATAAGTGTTCAGTACCTAGGAATTAATAAGTGTATTTTGTACAGATTAAAGCAACCTTCCCCAGCGGACGTTCAAAGGTCAACAATCAATTTAGTCACACCCCAGCGTTAAATTTAGCCGAATACGAAACAACTGACAATCGCCCGGCAACAAGCAATATTAAAATTAAGTAATAAGGGTAAAACGTTCAGAGAAAGACCGAAAAATGTGGTTTAAAGAGATTTGAGTAATAGTTAAAACATAAGACAAACTAAAGAACAAAACAATAGCAATACTATTCGACAGAACACTCTGGAAGGGTTTTCGGCGTATTCTTTCTGTATGGGTAAGACAAATGTACGTTAATCAGGTGCATAAAACTCTCGACTTTCGTGGTTATTAAACAAATGAGCTAGTTTGAATATGGGACAAATTTTCTTGATTTTCAAATCGGAATTTCGTTTGAAGTTGAATCGCATATTTCAAATTTGTTAAAATGTATCAATATAAATTATTGGTCTAGGTTGAACACACAGCCGGTATTTTAACTTTCCGTTTTTTATTGCAGTTGCAAGGTAGTAGGTTTTTTATGTCTTTATACTTTTGGGAGGTTGATAAGTAACTATTGATGCTGAAAACATTGTAAAATTTCTTTTCTTCATCGTAAAAACGTAGTGAAAATGCACATGTATTATTGTGTTCGTATTTAAATTCGATACAAACAACTTAAAATGTACTTCAAATTAGTTAACTTTAAACACACGTGTATGTACATACGGGACACATTTAAAATTAATTTGACTGACTGAGTGAAACTATAATGTATTGTTGATCAATATATGCACATTAAGAAACATATTGAATCTTCTAAAAAAATATTTTGGAAATAAATTTAACGGGGGTTTACGTTGGCATCAAAGTAGCGGTATCAAAGACTTATAATAAATTGTTTATACAAAAGTTAAAGGGTTTTCTAATTCATGCAGCAGCTAAAGCAGGATCTCTCTCCCTCCCTCTCTTTCTCTCTCTATTACAAAAAGATGCTCGTTGATACAGAGATAGGTTGAACAAAAGTTAGAGACGACTAAATCAAACATGGAATTAGTCTATAAAGTCACTGACTATTAGATTAAGCCATATTAATGGATTTGGACAATCCAATTTGTGTCGGTATGATAACAGCGACCAGTGTGACCTTAAGTGATATGGCCCAGAACTATTCAAACTTATTCAGATGCATTTACTCTCTATTTTCCTGTTGATCTTGGATCTCAATATTCAATCATGCATGCGTTTCCAATCTATCTTTCCAAATAGTACTCTCAAGGTTTCGTCTTTATGTTAGCATTGCTGCAACATTATTTCGAGATCTTTTGTTATTTTCATCTCGATATGCTAATGAAGTTTCAAGAAAATCGCGCCAACACACGTCTATGCCAGACTGTGTGTTACTGATATCTATATGGGCAACCGAATTGAATGCTGTAAAGCCTTGGAAAAACAGCACATTGGTTCGAAGGATTAAGAGAAAAATACATAAATGAAAGCGTGTGATAACTTGGATAACAAAAGAATGGGTAGTAACAAATTTTAATGTTTGTGTATAAGAAATAGTGAATATAAGCAAGCTTTAGATGTGTATCAAATCATGAAAATTCAGCTACCCACTACTCCTTGGCTTTCGGAGGTTTTTACATCGACACCTTTTATGATCAGAATAACTTTTTGAATAAAAAATTCCCGAAAATCATCTCAGTCGATTCTTGACATATCTAAATCGATGAAGTAAATTTTAAACCTTACTATTTATTTTAATAGGTAAATTCATAGATTGGTGGGAGCATGACCACCATTAAAGACCTGGATGGCAGTGTCGTTCTAGTATGGGACTTCTCAACAGTACACATTCACAAACCCTCACGTTGGATTCGAACTCATAACCCTCGATTTAGCGCACGAACGCTTAACCTCTAGACCACTGAGCTGGTATCTAACGGCGTTAATGTTTAACTTCGATTGATCCATGATTTATGTTTTGTAATCAGTGTTTTGCATTATTTTAAGGGAGATTATTGCTTAATTTGTTAATGTAATTACGAAATTTCTATTATACAAATAGAAGCCACTGTAAACAGAGTAGAATACACCTTAATATTTACTGAAGATAGTCGTTTCATTTATTTTAGCTTTTCGAAAAGCAAAGAACTTCTATATATAAAAATATATTTTTTATCTGTTTTTTCTTTAAATTCTACAGTGAATCGATCCAGTATTAAATTATGTCACTATCAAAGTTTTTTAATCCATTTCTTGACGATTTACCAATCCATCGATTCTGTATGTTTTTTGTATTATTTACATGAAATATATTCGATTTTATAAACCAGCTATAAATGATTTAAATGTGTATTTACAAGACATCATCAATCAACTTTTATATATTAAAGAATCTGAAGATCCAGTAAATGTTAGACTATTCCTATCAAAATAGTATATCGTAGCAGGTTTACTTTTAATAGCATGTTGTTATTTTATAGTTTTGAACATGTTGTAAATGGAACACATACTATTCATAGAGAATTTAAATATATATCAGCTATTCCATATAACCGTATGACATTTTTATTTAATTTATGGAATGCTTTCATGCCACTGAAAGATAAAGGTAATGTTTTAGGATGAATTTCTGTCTCACATTTTTACTCTTCAGATTTCACTATTGAAGAATTTTACACAATTGTCCAATTATTTTGTTTCGATTTTCCTGGTGAAATACTCTCTCATTGTCAAAAGTAATTTACAAATAAATGAATAAAAACAATCATAATAATGAAATTTTTTGTAGAACTTTGAATATAGTACACAACTCCACAATAGTTTACCCTTATAAAGATTTGTTTTGTGTATTTCAATTTCATTTCTACTTTGAAGTTATGTTTCATCGTTTTTATTTTATTTTCCTAAATTATTGTAGAATTTGTAAATGCTTTAATTAGTGAACTTACTAAAACTGAGTCAGTTGGGTTGACTAATAGACAAAAGGGTCAATCCGAGTTAGTCAGTGAATCAGGTAATTTGGATTGGTCTTTATGATAATGATAATAATAATAATAATACCGTAGTGTCTAGTACTATGTCGAGTCCATATAGGTTATACCAGCTTCTGGGCAGACCAATTAATTCGTTTTTTTCAAGTCACATTTGGACCTTATTGATTATTCTCTTAATAACCCTGATTGTAGTAATTGCATACACTATTCATTACATGTCTGTAACTTGATTTTGTCTGAATGTAAATATCGAGACACTCTTGATCAAAACGAGCTAGCTGTTTTGCCCTCTCCACTGCGCATCACTTTGTTTCGTTTCCCTTCGATTGCCTCACCTTGCTTCACTGATTGTCGGTCTGGGTAAATAAGTGTATGAAATAGACGTATTCAAAATTAATTCTCATATTTGGCTTCTTTTATTCCGTTATTCTCTTACACGAATCAAGTTGATAATTGTATGCGAGGGTTAAAGGTATGCATATTTCGATAATAATCAGCATACGATCTAACTGGAGTCAGATACAGGGCCACTAAAACAGTAACAGTAATAATAATTATTACTCAAAGATAACTTTAACTTGAAACTAATATCAATTGAAGAGCCGAAAGTAGATAAATAAAGATCAATCGTCACTTGAATAGCTTACAAGTAATGTATTTGATTATGACACTAATTGAAGTGGGTTTAGATTCCATAGACTTTGTCATTTTTCACACAAAACTGCTTTGTTAACGAATGTTATTTAGCTCGAAAATTTATTCAAGCATGGCATTCTGATAATTGTTTTCTATCATGTAATATAAGTAGTTACTTTTTCACTCTGTAGCTTTTTGATAGTTGTTTGTTAGTCCTTTTAAAATTCAATTAGTAGACATTGTAATTATTATATTAAACAATTACGTTTAGTAGTTTTGTAATGTTTTTTTCATACTTCATATAGACATTTCTAGTGGAGACAGTAAATGTTCACATAAATCAGTGGCATCTGAATGTTGTTTTAAGATGAACATATTGGTTGACTTACCAAATAAATATGTGGACTCAATAGAATTTCTTAATTTTACACGTGGGTTGTATAAAGAATCAACTTTATTGTAAGTTGACTGTTTTATATATTACTTATTTATATAAGTAGTAGTGCAAATGGAATATTATTTAAATTATTATGGAAGTGAACTTGAATCTCTTTAAGTATTAAATAAATATCTTATTCTTTTGACGCATAACTCAATAATGGTGTTCATATCAGTTTGGTTTAGTGGATAGAAATTACCATATCATTGTTGTTTAGGATTCAATGTTTATACAAGAGGTCAAAGCTCATGGTAGGTAGTTCCTGAAAAGAAAAACATCATGTTGACACAAGAATTAAGCTATTAAATAGTTAATGATTATCATAATAAGTGTTAAATCAGATCATGTACTTTGTAAATAAGTTGGAATTTGTTCAACTGGTTTATTTGTGTTATGACAGATAGTATATAGCTTGAGTAAATATTAAAATAGATTTCAGGTTTGAATTTACATGTCCGTTCTTTTTTTCAAGGTATTGCATTATTTAAGCTGTACAGTTCTAAATAACTTTTGAACCAACTCACCAAAACACTTTTGTTGGTAATTTAATCTTATGTTATTAGGTACGATTATCTGGGCAATCACAAATGATCAGTGATGCTCATTAAATCAATCATAATGAACGAAGATTTGGAGATGGTAAACCAATTTATTGTATTAAGAAAATTACGTGCTACATTTGTAAAGTATGGAAACAATACATTGAATGCTTCATTTGCAAATCTTTCTTGAATTGTGTCCTACAAGCCCTATCTTTCTTTTATCCCTGTTCCAACTTGGAATGCTTTTCTTTTTTTTATCTTCTTCTCATATTCCTCTTCTGTCAGTAAGAATCTTACTGCCAATTCTTGATACATACCACTTACATCTGTCTGTATAATGAACACACACCACAATAACAGTGCTTAATTTTATGGAAGGGATAGTCTAAAAGTACATAACCATTAGTAAATAAAAGAATATTGGGTTGACAACATAACAGGCTGAAAAGAAGAATTTTGATACAGCTAATCTTTTTTATCCTATAATAGTCAAGTAAAAGGAGTAAATGAAACAAAGAATATGTCGGCTTTTAAATGATCTGTTATAATAACTAAATCGAATGAAAAACCAGTTAACATAGTTAACTTACTAATGGGTGGAGTAATTTTGTACTTTCCGAATTTCCAACATATATGTTGACAAGAATGGGTCCTCAACAACTATCACGCAATATGTTTGACAGTATAATTTGTTGTTAAATTGAATATGAACATTTTTAAAGTTTAGTCTCAGTAACTGTTCAAGTTATATTTGAGGTTTAGATATAATTTGTGAATATTGGGTGATGAACTCGACCGTTCATCTCAAATGTAAAAAGTGAAGATATGTCATATATTCGTTTTTGCTTTGTTTAAATTTGTGAAGGGAACCTATTGCATGAATATTACCGATTGTTATATGTATATATATAGTTCAGATATCTGCAGATAATATATTTATAAGATGTATTTTTTAAAATTAATATTTACGTACAGTATTTACTTCATTAAATAGATTACCGCCGAAATTATTGATGCATAAATGTGCCAAAACATATCTATTTCATTCAGAATTTAATCTATATGATTTATTTACATCTTTGGCAACAGATCACTTATTAATGAAAGAAATAGGTAAATTAGTATGAATAAGTTTAAGTTTTTTTGTAATTCTTAACTTTTCTGTAATATTTAAATTGTATCTAGGGATGGTCAACTCATTTTGCTCTGATTTTAGGACTTGTCAGCTGTTTGTTGATAATTATATTGATACTTGGACTTAATTCTTATCTCTTCAAATATTAATACGTTATCGTCTAAGCTAATGAGCTCATATAGTCATTTCTAGTTGTTCGTATTCAGGACTGCAGTTGCTTGATCTCTGTTGGCACGTATATATATTCAATAAATATTTCTATTATTTCAATGGTTAAGATCATGAATCAGTTGAAGCTAGACCACCATGGAAAACCTGAAAACACTGGACGGCCGTTTCGTCTTATTGTGGGACTCCTTAGCAGTGCGCATCCATGACCTCGCCCCCTGCGAGATTCGAACCCAGGACCTACTGGTTTGATTATAATCGTGATTATTATTCACTTTGTATGAATGATCTAATTCTAAATATGTGTTGACACTAAATTATGTACATTGTATCTAAAGTAAATAATTAATTCTTTTATATTCCTTCTCATATGGTTATTTAGTTCTTGTTGTATAAATGAAGATTTAAATTATGTGGGTGAGTTGTGTATGCTTTGGAATAAGTGTACTTCAATGAATATTGGATAACAAAAATGAATATGTTTTTTTCTTAAAAAGAAGTGTACTTTGGTACTTATTTCGGTTTTATAACACTATGACAATGATTATTATATCGGTATTTTATGTTAAAGCAAAGTATTAAGTATCACTTATCATGTTTTTACTGTTAAATATGAACGAATTAACCTACTATTATTTCCCTCAAATTTAAATGGAGCATTTGAATTGTACAGGTAATTTTCAACAAAAAATTAGTTCTCACTAGAGGACTATCAAAAGAAGTAGTGTCACCAAACATTTTATCTAAGTTAACAGTTTCTCAGTAGTACGATTCTAAGCTTTAGAAGGATCAAATAAACAATAGTAATATTTTTGGGCGTAAAAGATAAATTGTTTTATTAAATTATTATACCTTGTATCAACTAGCATGTTTTACTAATGTTGAACAACTGAAGCAAAAGTGATTGGAAACTTAATAGTATGTAGTTTTATACCGATCGTACTGTAAAGTGTCAGAACTATCATATTTTTCTCAATGCTTTATAAAAATGTGACACTTAGCATTCTTTAGCACTTTTCATGACAATGTTGCATATAAGAGCCTGCTTCTTACTTGGGGTTTCATCTCAATCAATTAAAGCTGTTGACATGTGTTTTCTGTAGACACATTACTGTAGCGCATCCCAAGTTGTCGGATGAACAAAGCGAATAAAGTGGAAGTTAAGGATTAAAATGAAACCCTCGCTGAAAATTATACCTTTTTATGTAGCATCCACTCACTAAATGAACAGAGAAATGATAAATATTGCATACGAATTGAACATTGAAGAACAGATGCCCGACAAATTCACGGATATATATCCTATCTCACTATTTATATAGTTTTAGTTGCTAATCTCCCTCTATGCCTTCTGATTATTCAGTGTACCGATTTTCAATGACGAAGCTGTTTCACCAAACGCTACATTTCTATAGAATTTACACTGAATCATTTCCGATCAATCAACGAGTAGAGTTAACTAGGCTTTTATTATTTGTAAACCTTTATCATCTTTAGTCGTAGCTATGGTAACTTAGTAACTTAGTGAATGATACTGTGTTATTTAATGTGATACGTATTGTGTTCTAGTTTCACTGTGAACCTTAACTTTTGGTTCTAGGTAAACCCAATGAGTCTTAAATACTGATAAATGCGCGTTCTGGATTCCACTTCTAGCTATGATGCAAAACGTAATCATAATGTGTAAAAATATTATGAAACTTGGACCGTTTACCATCCTTTGTACTATTAGTGATAATATTTAATCCATTTTGACAAATTTTATGCTACTGTCAAATTATATTTAAATTGTTCCAGCTTACACTTTAAGGCTCAATTTTATTACAAGGTAGCTTAATTTAGTAGTCATTAATGATACAAGTTTTTTCCTCTATTAGTCTCTCTTCATTGAGTAGAGAAGTACATACGCGTGGTGTTTACTGACTTGATTTAATTTGCTTCCGTAAAAAGTAATTTTGTTTCGAGGTGGCATACGATTATGTAACTAAATAAATAAACCAAATCAATTAGTTTGTAAATATAAATAAGTCCAATTTTGGCATTCACTAATTTATTCTTTTTATTTATTTAAACGGATGTTAATTTATAGTAGTTATTTATTATCAGTATGGGAATATGTGGAGATTGTGATAATTTAGATAGTTGAATTCATGAGTCAATCTAAGTTGGAACGCCACTGAAAACCTGGAAGTCCAAGTATAGAACTCCTCAACAGTGTTCACCCACGATCCCGCATGCGGGACTCGAACCTAGGACCTTCGATTTTGTACACGAAGGCTTAACCTCTAGACCAGTGAGTCGACATTCATTTGCGTTAATGTCTAGCTTAAATCAATCCATGATCTTGCGCAACACTTTATTCATTAACTGAAGTCGATAAATGTTTCCATTCGACACGTATTGGACTCCAGTGGTCACGGCTTTTCACTGGAATACCAGGAAATCCATCTTGAAGCCAGTCACTAGTGAGCACCGCATGCGAGACCGAAAGCCCTGGGTCAGAGTCTCACGTGAGAGACCGTGTGTTCATACTGGTGAGGAGTTCCATGCCGGAACGAAACGGTCGTCCAGTGCTTCCAGACTTTCAATTGTGTTCTAGCTTAGATTGACTTGTGAATTCAACCATTAAAGATACTTATTGTCTGAAGAAGTAAAATCGCACTGAAGTGGTGAAACGTCCCTGCATTCGCTAAAGTTTTGGAAATGTTGTATTTTCTGAGCTAGAATGTTTAATTGTGAAGATCTCATTGTCTATCTAGACAACATCTCTGGCGTATACTTCAGAAAAAAGTGATTTATCAGGATTCTTTTCATATTTGACTAACTTCTTGTTGTTTTCATCTAGAAATTAAGTGGTTGTTGTCCGAATTTGTGTGACAGTCATTTACTTCATTCATGCATGAATAAATATACAAATAGAAATCAGCTCACTATATCAGCTAGTGAGAAAAGAACGTCAACAAGTTTAAGTTCAGTGATCAGGTCAGGGTAGAAGACACTCCGAACAACAGTCATATGACCACAGACAACAGTCAATTAACATCTAAGTCATTGAGAAGAGAATTGTAATAGCTCACTTTATGAGATATATATGATGTTGCATAGAAAGACGGTAGGAGCCTCAGAAAGAATACAAATATCTAGAATCCTCACTTTCATATACAAATATTCTCCATTATTCACCGGGTATATTGTAAATATACGAGACACTATGTTCACTGTTCAATTTAAATTTTATCAAAATGGATTTTTGATGTCGATTACTTTTACTAATTTTTTTTTATCGTCTTTATGTTTTTTTCCTTGTAGGGTTTCCTCAAGTCCATGGTTCGTAATGATGGAATCAGAAAACAGACGAGCTTCATTAATATGATAGGTTTATAAAAATACAATAATGTTATGTATTCAACATTTATAAATAGAATCACATGTATTTATGATGTAATCAATTAAGATAATATATAAATTAACGCACAGGTTTCATTTTCTTCCTTCCTGTATTTTTTAACTTGATTATTTGTATGATCCGAATGTATAATTTGAGATTTATACTTATTCTGTTGTCAATTGCTTGCTTGCTTACGCCTGTTACTCCTCGTGAAGGAGCATAGGCCGCTCACTAGCATTCTCCATCCAACCCTGTCCTGGGCAATCCTTTCTAGCTCCGTCCAGTTGTAATTCATCGTTTTCATATCTGCTTCTATTATCTGACGCAATGTGTTCTTTGGCCTTCCTCTTTTTCGCTTCCCTTCAGGATTCCAAGTTAGCGCTTGCCTCGTGATGCAGTTTGACGATTTGCGTAATGTATGTCCTATCCATTTCCATCGTCTTTTCCTAAGTTCTTCTTCAGCTGGAAGTTGGTTTGTTCTCTCCCACAGAAGGCTATTGCTGATGGTATCCGGCCAATGGATGTTGAGTATCTTGCGTAGACAGCTATTTATAAATACTTGTACCTTCTTGATGGTGGTTGTTGTAGTTCTCCAAGTTTCAGCTCCATACAGTAGAACTGCTTTGACGTTGGTATTGAAGATTCTCGCTTTGATATTGGTTGAAAGTTGTTTTGAGTTCCATATGTTCTTTAACTGTAGGAATGCTGTCCTTGCTTCGCCAATCCTTGCCTTTACGTCTGCATCTGAACCTCCTCGTTCATCGATGATGCTTCCTAGGTATGTGAAGGACTCTACATTTTCCAGAGTTTCGCCATCAAGAGTGATTGGATTGTTGTTTTCCGCTTTGAATTTGTCAATATTCAATTCTAAATTATGTTTAGACGTTAGACGTGATTGAAGCTAGTCGTCAGGATACTTATGATTCTGGTTTCTTGTTAGTTAGCACTCATTATAAGGTTATGCCTTGTTGACAACTAGCGTGAAACCTAGGTCTGAGGTTTTTAAGTCAATCACGTAACATATAAACTGAGTGGACTAAATGTCAAGTTACTTGAACCAGTGGGCACATTGTAATTTGACCTATAGAATTCAATCAGTAATAGGAGGACTTGAAAAACATGACAGATTGGCCATTACTGAGTGGTCAAGCAATTGTAAATATCTGAGTCCTACAGAAGGTTAGTTACGACTCGAATAGCTCAGTGATAATGCTTTAGACTGTAAAGCTGAGTGACACAAAATCGAATCCATCAGGGAGCACCAGACTACAGGTACACTATGTTAACTAATGCCAGATAGCACGAAACCTAGATTCAGGATTATCTTTATACTGCTTCCGACCACCTAACATCTAATGGGATGTATATTTTTGTTTCGCTTGTAAAAAAAAGCTATTCAAAACAACAGACAAATCTAATCTCCGAAAGTAACAATAAAAAATATCTTATTAGTAGCAATGATTTCGATGTAAAACATTTAATTATACAAACGTTCGATTTAAGCCTAAACATCAATGTACATTGTAATAACAAGTTAATTATGGATATCTAGGGAAGAGAAGAAAAACACGAGAGAATAGTTAAATTTATATCAAATGAAATAACTTCATTTATAAATAAATAATACATTTGTAATATCCCAATGAGTAGAAAATTAGATTTTCTGACGTTTCGTAACTTAGTGTAAGTCACTTCTTCAGAGAATAAATAACCAAACTAACTGTCTACCTAATGCTCAATTTATTTGAAACTTCATTTATAATTTATTTTTAAAGGAAGAAAAGATTCCAAAAAGAAAAACTTGAACCGTTTAATTTTGAATTATGTAAGAGAATGATCAATCACAACGACGTTGTTTGTTTCTTTATTTTTTTGTTTGTTTTAATAAATGAATACTCATACATCTATTACTTGTGAATGTGTTTGTGTGTGTGTGTATCTATGTGCATATGTGTAATGATAAATGAAATGAAATTATATACAACTAGTGTGATGTCATATTAAACATCATCTAAAAAGTCGACTTACTTATGAGAAGATTAATGTTTACTGTGTGTTTAATTGACACAATAATAATAATAATAATAATAATAATAATAATAATAATAATAATAATAATAGGTATTAATTATGTTTGTGAATATAAAATACAGAGATTGTATTTTGTTAAGTGTATACGTATTTAATTTTTATACATATTTCATCAAGTGAATTGTATATTTGAACTATTATTTAGAAATGAATTAATGCACACACACACAAGTATTGCGTAATCATTTCAAACTAAATTGAATTATCAGTTTATGGGTTGTGGAGATTGTTACGTTTTTGATTGAGATCATGAACCGATTGATTTTAGACCAACATTGAAAACCTGGAGGCATTGGACGGCTGTTTCGTCCTATTGTGGGACTCCTCAGCAGTACGCATCCGCAATCCCGCTCGCGGGATTCGAACTCAGGGCCTTCGGTCTCGCGCGCAAGCGCTTAACCTACTGGACCCTTGGGCCGGTATCCAACGGTGTTAATGTCTAACACCAACCAATCCACGAAAGTCCGCGACAATCTGGTGAGAATCCGTGACCAGTGGAGCTAATCCGTGTCGGGTAGAAATAGGTGTCTACCTCAGTACAACGGAAGATAGTCGCGCAATTTCCTGAATTGGTTGAGGTTAGACATTAACACCATTGGATACTGGCTCAGTGGTTCAGTAGATTAAGCGTTCGTGCGTGAGACTGAAGGCCCTGTGTTCGAATCGCGCGAGTGGGATCTTGGATGTCCACTGCCGAGGAGTCCCACAATATGACAATTCTCCCAGGTTTTCAATGTTGGTCTAACATCAATCGGTTTATGATCTCAATCATAAGATTAAATTAATTGGGAGTATACCAATATTTCATGGTGAATTCAAGATGTATTTAAATCGTTTAAATTTCTATTTTCACTATTTATATTTATTTATGTACATAGAAGCTGGTAAAAGCTTTGTATTCATGTTTTGTCAAGCAAGAATGATGACTTACTTTTTTTTAAAAATTAATGGCTATTAATGAAATGCAAGATGTTGGTTTCTTATTATTTGTGATTGGTTCCAGTATTGATATTCATATTGAAGCCTCCACCTCATTATATTTTAATCTAACCAGTAGACATTATTAGGGCATTTTTTAAGGGTTCAAATATTCAGACAGAAACTGATCGAAATCGGTTTGAATATGCCTATTAATAAGTACTGTTTTATTTTAATCTTATCAGTCATTCTTTTGATTTTTAAAAAAATATGAAAGTTAATTCACTTTGTATACATATTATTAAGTGAGGTAGTTGGAAGACATCACCCAGGAACCCTGAACTTAGGTTTCATGCTAGTTGGTACTTGTCAGCAAAATATATTTAGAATCTTGAGAGATCTAATGGTCCGTGTGAGATGTTAATCCATGTTACCCAATTTTATAGTATGAAACGTTGCCATTAACTCATTTAGTCTACGACTGGTCGAAACAAATCTTATGATCAAATGAAATATAGGCCATGATGGAATGCAATCGATCGTATTCTGTCTTAGATAAGGAGTGAATAAACATTTCATTGGTTAATACTCAGTGATCAATAAGTGTGGTGAATAAGTAAGTATATATGTAATCATAGAATTAATTGTTTATGGTTATTGAATACATAAAAATTATTTATTCATAAATGAAACATAATTCTCTGGTTAAGTACTGAATCTTAATTATTGATCTGTCCCACAATAATCCAAATGTCTACAGTATTCAACATGTCACATTATTATACTTGGTAGGGATGGACTGCAATTTTGACAACTGTTGTTGTCATAAGGTGATATCGATCTGGGTCTTGGATAAAAACCGTCAAAGAGTTACATTTCAATATGAAACAGCTATCTAATACTCCTTAATTTTCGATAATTATTCAATTAGTTTCAGTTAGTAATAAAAATTATCTTCCAACTATGGGTGTCTGTACATGAAATGCACTTCATTAAATTTCAAATAATGTTAGAATATGATGAATTCATTATATTTTGTTGTTTTCTATTCGGCAATATACAAGCTAATAAGTTAACTTATTTCCAATTAATAATGCCTCGAACTCTCTATATTAATCTACATGAGCATGGGAAAGCATGCACATAAAAAGGGTGGAACGACGAAGATCCAGGCGTTTTTGTTAGCCTTATTTGTGTGAAAATATGCTATTGCGGACTAAATGGTCTTTGTAGTTCGACAGCACGATACCTACTTGAGATGTGGTATAAAGTGGATTCAAAATAACTTATTCACGGAAACCATAGAGATTAGGTGGCATTAATCTGACTTTTACATTCAAAAAGAATACGTGGTTAATATTCGTTTGACCTCGTAGTTGAAGCATATTAACCTCTTTTTTTTCATTTATTTTCTTCAGTTAATTATTATCACAATTGAATGTGTTTAACTCAAACTCATGTTTTTGGATTAAACCTCCTAGGTTTTGTTATATTATGTAGTAGAATAAGTATCCTAGAGCATTAATGAAAAACTGTGTTAAAACATTGATTTTTGAACTACTTTTTATCCCAATTAACTTGTTCTTTATTTGTGCACAGTTCACTTCTTTACATTCCACATTAAAAGTTTGAATTATATAAATAAACTTATCAACTTGCATGTAGCTGAATAGAAAACAATGAAATGCAATGAATTCGTCGTATTCTACAAGTTATTTCATTCTTGTTTGGCTTAAAATTGTGAAGGAAACGAATAGCATGAAACTGCATTAAATAATAATCATATGTTTACTACTAACTAGCTCCCAAATAAATTTTCAAAATTTAGTTTGAAACCGCTGTCAATTAACTCTGTCAAGTTGTTTCTGAGACGGTGTTGATACTACTGATTAAGTATTGGGCAATATATCCTTGAATGAATGAGTTTAAAAATGTTAA